CGGCCCTGCCCTCGTCCCCCCCGCCGCTCTCGTCGCCTCTGCCGGAGCTCCCCCAGGCCGAGGAGCAGCCGCCCCTGCCCGAAGCGCCCAGTCTAGGGCCCCCCTCGTCCTCGCTGGAGCTGCTGGCCTCCCTGACCCCCGAGGCCTTCTCCCTGGACAGCTCCCTGCGCGGCAAGCAGCGCATGAGCAAGCAGAACTTCCTGCAGGCGCACAACGGCCAGGGCCTCAAGGCGGCGCGGCCCGGCGACGACCCGCTCAGCCTGCTGGACCCGCTGTGGACGCTCAACAAGACCTGAGCGGCCCACGGGCCGGAGCCGGAGCTCCACCCCGTCCTGCTGCCCTCGGCCCGCCCGCGCCGCGGGGTGGGCGCTGCACGCGGGCCTGGCCTCGTTCGCCGGACCTGACCTTTTTTTTTTTTTTTTTTTCCAGCTCTTTGCTATTGAAATAAAAGAGTCTGTGCCGGTACCTTGAGACTGCGCAGCTCTGACGCTGCTGCCTGGGCGCAGCGCGCGTAGCTGAGGGTCTGGTCAAGCCATGTTTGCTTTTTTTAAAGAAAGTTTACTATTACAAGCAGGATGACAGTTCAGAGGCCGCTGCCCGGAGATGCATCTGTCCCGGTCCGGGTGTGTGTCCCCGCGCCGTGCGCCCTCAGTCCAGCTTCTCCAGCACGGAAGGCACGTACACCAGGCTGAGCTCACTGCCAAAGTTGCAGACGATGGCGGCATTGTCCAGCACCAGGATCTGGCGGGCAGGCTGGGCCTCGCTGCTCTTGCCCAGGTAGACGGTCTGTAACAGGTCCCCAAAGTTTAGGTCCCAAAAGGAGACGCAGCCTTGGCCACCGGTCACCAGGAGGTTGTCTGCGATGACGCCCAAGCTCGCGCCGCAGCCCAGGTCCTGGAGGTGGGGCCGGAAACGGGAGGGGCGTCACTCAGTGTGCTGAGCCCTTCCCCAGAGCGGGGGCGCCCCGCGCCCCTGCCCACCTGCTGAATGGAGTAGAGCTTGATGCTCGTGCTGCGGTCCCAGATGTTGATGAGGTCATCTAGGCCGCTGCTGATGACGCAGGAGGTGGTACAGGTGAGGGAGGTGACGTCCCCACGGTGGGCAAACATATGGCTGACCCGGCTGCCGCTCAGCACGTCCCACAGGCAGATGGCTCCGTCTTGTCCTCCGCTGGCCAGCACCATGGTCTGGGGGGGCGGGCTGTTGTCAACAAGGGCCCCACGCTGGCTGGGTGTGGACCCCGCCCTCCGCCTCACCCCCTGCCCTTTACCTGGTCGATGTACACAGTTGTGATGGCCCCCGAGTGGCCCTGCAGGGTGAAGAGACAGCACGAGTCCTCCAGACGGAACACCTGGGGGGGAAGGAGGCACCGGCTCTGGTCTCGGGGCTCCCCAGCCCCCCCGCGGCCGCCCCTCGCCCCCAGCACCCGCACAGCACACACTCTCAGGGTGTGGTCTTGGCTGCCGGTCACCAGGCGGCCGGCTGCGGCCCGCAGGGCCGTGATGGGCTTCTGGTGCGCGCAGGGCACGGTGTGCGTCAGGTGGCAGAGCACCGCGTCGCTGCTGCTGTACACGGGCGAGGACGGGCAGCTGCCGCGCCCCGGGGTCCCTGCGGACAGGGCAGCTGTGAGGAGCCTGAGGGGACCCCGGCACCTCCCTCCCCCCCTCGGTGCTGACCCGGGCCGCCCCGGGCCCTGACCTCGGAACTGCAGGGGGCTGAGGGCAGTGTGGGTCTCCAGGGAGAAGAAATCCAGGGAACCATTGAGCCGCGCTGCCACGATCCTGGAAGAGATGACAGGGACCCCTTAAGGTGTGAGCCAGAGCGCCCTCCGTGCCTCAGTTTCCTCCTTGGCAAAATTTCAAAAACAAGTTTTTCCAACAGTAGGTGAGGTTCCCCCACAGGGTACAGCGCCTGTGTTTCGTGCACCCCAACTCCTCTAAGCCCCCTCCCTCCCTCCCTCCCTCCTGATGGCCTCGTCGTTTAGGGATGTGGGACGGGGGTGGGGGGGCTCACCTCTTGTCCAGGAAGACCAGGGCTGTGATGCCCGAAGACACCTCCTCGCTGCTGCAGCACAGCACGCCCTCGATGGCGTCCCACACCTGCAACGCGAGCGAGCGAGCGCCAGGCTGAGCGCCCGCCCGCCCGCTCAAGCTCCAGTGCTGAAAACACCCAAAGTCACCGCAAGGCAGAGTGACTCGTCAGGTTCCTGTGTGTCCTGGGCT